AGGGTGACGGCAGCATCGAAATACTTAGTTTCATTGTAGATGAAAATATCGAGAAATGCTGTGATATTAAATGCCAAAATGGAATTGATCCAAAAACTGGCAAAGAATAAACAGATTCCACTCGATTGAGAGACACTTCACTAACCAATATCGTAAATAAAGGCAATAACTCAACAATATCATCGTTTTTCTATTACCGGTATCTAATGCTGATCAGTAGCCATGGGTTGCCAGACGGTTTTATTTTCCGGACCAAATTCCGTAATTTATTTTTCAATAGCGTCGGCCGGCTAAAATTTATGATAAATTCCTAAATAAATTTTAAGAACTGCAAAAAAATGAAATTTTTATACCGGAACCTACAAATATACTAGTATATATTGAGTTATAGGCCTTTTTGTCCACGGACTTGGCCATTTTTAGCCCATTTTCTCCTTTATGGAAAAAACGCGCCATTGTGCTCGTCATGTCCATCTCTCCGTCTGTCTGTCCGTGACTTCACGTTTTCGTCGACGAGAAATTGCGCTCTCTGTCACTCACTGCAGTGAGTACTGAGTTATATTTTTGAGGCCATCTGGCTTAAAAGCCCCCACTCTAAAACCACCCAGTAACCACCCTGTCTCGAGGCCTATCTATTACCGGTATCGCAAGCTTGGCAGTAACCCCTCTTAGCGTGCGACACTTGAATCGCCAGTACCGCAAAAACGGCCGCTGATAAAATAATCAATACATTGCACAAGCCGCCACAACTTGAAGAAGTCTGGAACAAGCTCAATGAAAGCCACAAGAGGAAAGCAACTTTTTTATGCCATCGTAGCCCGTAATTAAAACAGTTAGTGGTTCACCTATAGGCTGTGCCAGACATACATAAACATGTAGAAGAGAAATGCACTGAGGCATATGTCAGTAAAAAGTGACCAACATATCAGTCAAAAACCGAATTGCAGCACTGGCGCGTCGAAAGAATACGCGGCTGCTCTTGAAAGTCGGATTTGAATTTAACCTGGACGACGAACATTATTTACAAAATTTCGCGCACAATTAAGTGTCGATCAGTTACATAAACATAAATAACATCTGTTAAGAGTGCAAATTACCGACGGTTCTGTTGAATTACTTTTTTTTCTCGACAATGCAGTTTCACTCACTTTATAAAATTTTTTGTTATCACACACATGAAGGAGATATATCGGCCAACCGATAATGGAACAGCAATAGTTGGACACGACATTGAAGACCTTTTCCTGGACCATCAATGCTGTTGTCAGCACGGCTATCAATTGATGAACGCTTACAAGACGCTGTGGAACGCGACAGAGATGAATGAGCTCGACCTACAGCCAAAAAAATATACCGGAGAGTTTGTGTATATGTTAGTTTTTAACATGCAAAATAACTCGTTGTTACACACGAAAATAATCCGCCTTTGCAATAATTTTGCAACACGAACTGTTAACAAGGCGGAAGATGAGGCACAATAGAGTTTTGCACATGAAGCTGAAGAAAAAATCGTATATTGAACATCGGTTCCTACAGAAATATTTTAATAACGAACATAAACAATACTTTTCAGTATTTAGGCCCTATGCACATTCGGCACCCAAGTTAGCAGAGAATGCGCCTGATCGAATGGAGCATACGTGTAACAAACAAACCTGTGCGACATGCTTGCCAAACTATGTAACGGAAGCTCGGTCAGCATGCTTGCCAAACTATGTAACGGAAGCTCGGTCAGCATGCTTGCCAAACTATGTAACGAAAGCTCGGTCAGCATGCTTGCCAAACTANAGGGGGAGTTGTACGAGGGCTAGCAATAGGGGGAGTTGTACGAGGGCTAGCAATAGGGGGAGTTGTACGAGGGCTAGCAATAGGGGGAGTTGTACGAGCGCTAGCAATAGGGGGAGTTGTACGAGGGCTAGTAATAGAGGGAGTTGTACGAGGGCTAGCAATAGGGGGAGTTGTACGAGGGCTAGCAATAGGGGGAGTTGTACGAGCGCTAGCAATAGGGGGAGTTGTACGAGGGCTAGTAATAGAGGGAGTTGTACGAGGGCTAGCAATAGGGGGAGTTGTACGAGGGCTAGTAATAGAGGGAGTTGTATGAGGGCTAGCAAGAGGGAGTTAGATGTTTAAGTAGATTGCGAAGAAACATCCTAGTTTCAATTCAGACGGTAAATTCAGCCTTTATACTGCAATAATCTAGTTTTAATCCAGAATCATTCGCAATCAAACACGTCAATTTTAAATAGTAGGCATTACCCATAATGAATTCTAATGGATGCGTAAGGAAAAACGACTATAACGAACCACAACTAGTTCAGTTGCACACCTCACCCATTTGCACCAAATTTTAAAATTATTCAAAGTATTACATCTCTCTTAAATTTCAGATTTTCAAGGAATATTACGTTTTACTTGAATCCACCTATTAAATGCCGGGTTCCGTACCTCCAGCATCCGTAGCACTCAGAGCTCTACGCGGCCTTCGTCCGCTTGCATAAACACCGCACGATTCGATTTAGGACTCAGTCAATTTCCATGTGCAATTGCATACTGATGGTCAATTAAAACTGTAGCTCTCATCTTACACGCGAGGCCCAGCTCGGGTGTTTACAGCGAGTGCCACGGATGAGAAACGCAGATCAAAACTGCAGCAGTAGTGGCACTGTAGATGCGTTCAACGCAGGTCAAAACTGCAGCAGTAGCGGCACTGTAGATGCGTTCAATGCAGGTCAAAACTGCAGCAGTAGCGGCACTGTAGATGCGTTCAACGCAGATCAAAACTGCAGCAGTAGTGGCACTGTAGATGCGTTAAAGCAGCACAAGCGATGCTTCATAAATCAACAGCTAATACATCGGATGGCACTCGGAATTTTTGCGCGCACACGTTTTCACTTTTCAGTAACTTTATCCTGACAGAAGCTATCATGAACCATGAATAATTCATTAGAGTTTCGAACACAATTTTGATTAGAGGTAATATGAGACATGACACAGCAGGCTGAAAAAGTACACAATATTGCAGGTAGAAAAACTCTATATAAGATGAACTCGATTTTATAAATATATTCTAACTTTATTTTAAATTATTATCTATTTGTGACAAGCTAAATCTATAACCTGTCCTAAATTATCAAATTTTGAACATATTAAATAGGATTATAAATAGTTATTTGGTCATAATTAAGGGGACGTTAATCGTGGTTAGATAAAAATTACCGTTATTTAGGAATGCCTAATTCATTCAGTTGATGCGTCTCGGAGGCGATGGCGCTCACAAGCAAATTGTACATCAGGCGAAAATTATTACAAAAAAACAGCGTATATTTGAGCCATAAAAATTAACACAAAAGTAGGGCGCTGGGTCTTTCTTTACTGACATGAAATTGCTGGGGAACTTAAATGAATCACATTTATACTCGATGGGTGATAGCATTAATTCTCTAGAATGTATTATTTGTAATAGCACGTTATACGGATATATTAATACTATATCTAGCTTAAAATTCAAAATATTTTACTGAAATTTTAGATACAGTTCTTCTCTAATTCCACCCTCTGACGTTTTTTAATGCATATGAATAAAATCGCCAAACCATTTATATTTTTCACAAATATTATTATTCAAACTTTTTCAAAGAATTTCATTTGTGTGGTATAAAAGCGAATATAAATTTTAGAACGTTCCAACAAGTGACAATCAGAGGAAGAGACATCAGGAAAAGGGAGAGGGTTCAGCGAAATTGTTCAATTCAGGTTTTGCAGTTTGCGACCAATTCGACGACCGATTTACTTTGCATGTATTTGTACAATAAAACGAGTCGATATTATTCGGTGAGTGGCGATTCCAAGTTCAATATAATTTCTAACGGAAGGAAATTTAGATTAATAAAAAAGTCATAGAGTTTTTACGACGAATACCTAAAGTAATATATAAATAACGCATTAATATATGACATAACTCATGTTTGACCACCTTATGATATTTAAGCACTGCACCATCGTTTACGCATTATTTCCAAATCAGGAATGTCATGGTGCAGCTTTTCATCGCTAGCGTATCGCTAGTCCAAAAAAAAGTATACCGTTCAGGTGATTCCTGCTGGACCATTTGTCTGGGTAGCAGACGAACATAATTTGTTATTGTCCAGTGTTACAAACGGGTTACGGAAGCAACCAAAATAGCATCTTTGACTGAAAGCCAAAGCGCGCTGTTACAAATAATAGAAGGGCAGATCCTCGAGTCCTAGACGATGCCTGAAGAGCAATGAGGTGACTGTGAACGAGGTTAATGTATACGAGGCTAATTTGTAAGATGTGAATGTATATAAGATCAGAATGCATACAAGGGGAATTTATGAATATATACGAGGTGTATGTATCCGAAATGAATGTATACGAGTTTAATGTCAAGCGCTGTAGAAGAATATGACGACACACACACACAAGGCATTAAAAACCTTTTATGGCACAGAAGAATATTTCAAGAAAAGGTCACGTCAGAAACATGAAACGCATTTTTGCCCAAATTTTTGTATTACTTGAATGTTATTTCATATTTCCGCGTGTATTTATATACTTGCTAGTCTAGGAACCTGAGACAAGTTAATTAATATAGTGAAATGTAGTTGTTTATGGTCAGGAACTATTTATTTTATGCTACTGAAGTTTGGGGAGCTTATTAAAGGCTCCAGTACACTGTAAGAAAAATCGCCGTTAAACGGTCTTACCGGCGTTCAGTGGCCGGCCGACACGTGAAAAGAAACACCGTATGACCGTTTTTTATTCAAATTCAACACTAGAAACACGTACAACATTTGAAAAAAAAAACGGATAAACGGTTTATTTTCACGTGACGGCCGGCCACTAGAACGCCGATGAGACCGTTTTTTTACCGCTTTTTAGAACAGTGTAGATATTAGTTTGTTTTGACTACAAATAAACCATTTTATCAGTATTAATTAATAGTATTACTATTAGTTTGTATTGGCTCCTAATAATACCTTTCTAGCGGCGAGCAGCGTGGCCAGGGAAGGCTGCAGAGGCGCGGGTCGCGGCTGGTGGGGACGTAGATGCATCATTGCGGCCATAGGGGGCGGTGGCCCTGCTGTGAGGGCCATTACGCCCCCCAGGGAACCTAGGCCCCCTAGGCCTGCCAAGCTTAGTCCATTGAGGCCATTTATGCCATTCATGCCGATGCCGTTTAGACCACTGAAGCCATTTAAGCTACTCAAACCGCTCATGCCATTGATGCCACTGAAGCCGTTCATGCCGGCAATGCCGTTGAGGCTAATGGTGTTCATGCCACTCATACCGTTCATGCCATTGATGCCAGTCAAAGTGTTCATACCACCTATACCACTGATGGCAGTCATGCCACCCATGCCGGTAATTCCACTGATGGTGTTGATGGTGGGTGCGTAGTGATGATTATGGCCAGAGTGCTGGCTGTGCTGGACGCTGCTGGGCACCACAGCCGTCACCGACAGACCGTTCAGTGAACCGTTTACGGCCGTCATGCCACCGTTTACGGCCGTCATGCCACCGTTCACAGCCGCCATGCCACCGTTCACAGCCGCCATGCCACCGTTTACGGCCGTCATGCCACCGTTTACGGCCGTCATACCACCGTTCACGGCCGCCATACCACCGTTTACGGCCGTCATGCCACCGTTTACGGTGCTGCTCATGGTCGTGGTGATGCCGTTATAGGAGGGTAGTGATGGGGCTGTAGGTGGAGGTGGGGTAGATAGGCTGCCCACTTGGGGAGGAGGCAATCCCGGTACACTGGGGCTCATGGTGGGCATGGAGGGCATGGTACCAGGAGCCCCACTGAGGGTAGACAGATGAGGGGGAGCTGGAGGGTAGTGAGGGGACATGAGAGGGGAAGGAGCAGCGCTGAGGGCATGGAACGGGAGCCATGGAACGCCAATCCACGAGGGCTGCATTGCGATGAGGATAACGACTGATGTTCTCGGGTTATTTCAACTCACGACCTCTTATTTGTTCTCCACGTTTAATTTTCTTTAATAATTGCCACTTAACTACTTCTTTTCATAAATAATTTTGTTTCAATCCTGTTATTGTTTGAGGCTACAATAAGAGATACCGTAGGCTCCGGTAATGGATCAACACTTTGCTGGGTAAAAACCACCGAAATCATGAGCTAAACTTTTGTCGGACACGCCGAAAATACTGTATTATACTGTAGTGAGCATGAGTTAAGCGAGTTCAAGTTTCTCAACCAACACAGCATTTTTGTCATTCACAATGTACATCTTGGAATTACACTGAACAAATAGATGGAAGAAAACCACAATGAATAGATTAATCCACAAATTAGAGTCAATCTAAATTTTTAAAATATTTATTTTTTACAAGATTTATTTCTTCTGCTAATATTTCGGAAGCTTCACAATAAATAAAAGAAACGCAAAATCGTTAACGAAAAGAAGCGAAGTTTGATCACACTCGCGTTGGGACAAATTTCAACTCGTAACTATAGCGAGCCATGATAATTTTCTTCCTCTTGTTATCAATAAAATACAATTTGGAAAGCATTGTAAAAATGTGTGGAACTGCAAGACACTTAACTTCAGGGAATTAACCTCGCGTTAATAATTTTAAAAGGGCAAAAAATTCGCGAGTATGAAACAAGGTTGAGCTGTCAAACCAAGAGTTGACAAAAAGCGCTAAGAATATCTAAGAACTTCCGGTATTAATTAAATCTAACTTTACGCGAACATTCGGAAACACATATTTTGGTCCAATTGAGATCCAAGCGTGATTCATCCAGCACATGATTTGTTCTTACAAGACGAATGCCACCCGTCCCAACGAAAAAAAATAATAATTTCGTCAGATATGCAGAAAGTTAGAGGGAAAATTGCAGTTTTGTTCAGTATGAATGTGAGGAATTCTCATCAAAAGCCAAGCCAAAATATTAGATTGAAGGCACATTAAAATGCAGCTGAATTCTTACATTCAAAGAAGCTGACAGATATTAATACGGATATTAGTATAGGTGGAGAGCTCGAGAGCTATTGAGACGGAACAAAAATGAGGTTGGGGAGTGTCGGCTTAAAAGGTTTGGGCAGGTCTGAACAGCGACGAATATCATGGGCTGGAAGGCTTCCGAGCAAGAATCTTGTTCTAAACTAATGCTTGACCACCAGATTCCGCAGAGCTGTTAAAAACTCAAAAATAATTTAGTAGTTTTGAAAATTTAGTATTGACTTTTAAACAGAGTTCGATAAGTTCGTAGTTCATTGTAAAACAAGACCGTACGCGGGAATAGAGCGAACGGGAATGGAGACCGAGCCTCGAGCTCGAGAAGAACGCAACACCGGAGGACCGTACAGCATGGGCAGTGCCGCAATACTGGCACTGGCAGCGCTGACAGCACGTGGTGTGCCACCATGGCACTCCCCCTACCCCCTCCAAGACCAACACCATGGCACTCCCCCACCCCCCTTCCAAGATCAACTTACCCAGGCACTCATGAAACACACGATGGTTGCCCAAACCACAGCCGCGGCTCCCGAATTTTCCTTTGCGGAACCTTGCTTAAGACCCTTGCTCCGCTCTAATTAAGATTGTTAGAGATACTGGAACGCTGTCGTTACTACTAAGTTCAATTACCAGCACGAAAATCTATATAGTTGGGCAACAGATTCAGATGAGATTATGAGACATTGAGAGATAATAAAACAAATTATCGTTTCTGAGCTATTAATACTATTAATATTTGGAAATGCTACTCTTTATTGTTTCTCTGATTGCCTGCAGTCAGCGGTTGCAAAAAAAAATGAAGACGCAAGATAATCAAGTTGAGTCTCAACGAAACGTAAAATGATTCATTACCGGTCAGCGTTATTCTTTAGCGTAATTACCGCACAAAGATGAGGCCTCCTGAAGAAATTAAACGCGATGATTTTTGGAGCACCATATATGGACACTATTACGGGATTTTGGATACTACTTAGGTTGTGGAAGTTCTTCAGCACTATATGAACAATATTATATGATAATGGATTCGATTATCATGAACGTTCTTCACCATTAAGGGCCGGAATTTTACAACCGGATCCTACAAATGCTCTGCAGCAACTTAGCGTAACCGTTGGAAGTTGCCGGATTAATTTATCACAGACAAAATTACAAGAATCGCTAAACGAACATAGCCAACAAAGGCATTATGACTTTATTAAAAAAATTAAATCAGTAAAAGGGTTCGACTTTTTTTACCAGTTCAAGTTCAATTTATTTTACCACTGATCAAGAGATCGTATCAGGGAATTGAAATATTATGGCACGTAAAAATCACCATCGATAAATTTACTAAAAAATGCAAAGTATAAAGCAAGGGAAAAGCGATCGACCCGCCTTGAGCTGCTACAATCGTTCATCATAACAATTTGTTCGAGTTAATTCCTATTGAGCTTCTCGAGCCGTGAAACGATAAGAAACCAAGACCCTTGTTCGTCCAACTTCGCAACTGCCGTCAATTTCGAATATTTTCTCAAGATTTCACTGACGCGACAGGCAAGCGAAAGGCCACGCCAATAGAAACAAGAATGTGCAGGAAATCCTCAAGCGAGCGAAGATGAAGTGGCTTTTGGTCGCTTCATCATGGAGCTTTTTAGCGGCTGCGGACAATCAACTGGGCGCGCCATTTAGCCTACGAGCAAAAGCTCGGGCAACCGCTACTGATGAGCACTCAAAAAAAGTGAATCGGACACCGAACAAAAGTTGCGAGGAATATGACCAAGGAAATGGTGTGCGAGACGGAAATTTCCCCGCAGTTTAGGAAGAGTTAATGGGGCAATTAAGTCGTGCAAAGAATTTCTGCATAAAGCCTCGCTTTCATCGCTAGCCAATGAAGACTCACCTGTGCAGGGAGCTACAATGAGGAGGTACACTTAAAGAAATGAGTTGTGCTTTGTCCACATAGCGATGCATTTTTTGCCCTAGTGTGAGTCATTATGACCTACAATATAACCCGGCAGAGGAGCGTATCAGTAATGCGTGTGTCACCATTCAGACAAGATGCCCATTCATTTACCTGAAATTATAATAGCAGACAAGAGTGTGTAGTAGCGATGGTCTAATTTAGCATGAGATGCCCAGTCGACGGCAGCGCGGAGCTCGCTATATACATAAGTAAACACAAGAAAGTGTTGAACGTGTGTCACAGGAAGGGAGATATTTATTTTGATGGCATAGGGCCCCGTAAACATGCTAGGCTTTGACAGTCGTGTAACGTGAGCACAGATAATGAACGTCTCAGAAGCGGGCAGTCATCGCTACAAGAAATTAAATTAATGAAGAACTTGCGTTGTTCAAATCAACATGAAAAACTATAGGGACATGCAATATAAAAAATGCTCGCTGTCTCACACGGAGTCCAATTACAGCCCTGGCGATTTCTAGTAAATGACAAGACAGCCAGTTTACATTAATATTTTCGAATTTTATAACGCATCTTCCTTTCAAAAATGTTAAAAATGATTATTCGTTTACTATCATCACATAAATTTACATTTTTCATTAAAAGAGACACAGAAGTTAAGGTTGCCAATTGAGTCCCGAGGATAGAAAGAAGTGCTGAATTTTTTTAGATTGATGTTAGTCTATACTATAGAGACATTATTAGCGTCATTTATTTCAATAAAATCTCAACTAAAATAAAATGCATGGAATAAAATCTTTTTGAGACAGAAGAAAGTGTGGTTTAAGGTCCAAAAAGTTCGTACATTGGCGATATGAAGAGTTGTGTTCTTCAATGATCGAGGCTGGCGACAGGTGCATGTTCACCGAAACATTGCACCTGCTCACTAAATACCATCATCACACACAACACATACATGGTAGCGGCGTCTCGGTGAACTAATGCACACCATTAGGAAACAGCAAATTGGACACTAGATTTGTTCTTATAAATTGTACCATAACTTGCGACTTAATCTGAGCGGTGATGGATGCACCGCCTCCGCTACGGGAAAGAAACGCTTTGAGCAGAACATTAATTCATCGCCAGACGTTCAGTTTGCTGCATAATTAATAATCTCCGAACGCATTAAAGGGCGACGCACTTTTGCGATTTCTTGGTAATTAGATTTTAAGCTGATTATTGCCCCCTAATTTCCAAGAACTCTATTAAAATGTACATCTCATTAAGCCTAGAAGAAACTTGAGTGGTTTGCGAAGTCTGCAATCGTTTTGTCAAGCACGCGGCGATAAAACTTATATCAGCATTCGAAGCGACAAATTTCGCGACAAATGCTGATTTGTCGAAGCGACAAATACTTTTGCAAATTTCGAAGCGACAAATAGGTACGTTTCGGCCAGATGTTAACGAAGTGAGGCTAAGAATTTGTCCAGAAAAACTTTTTGGCATCATCAAAGACATTTATGCACTGTATTTCAGGAGTGGCCTTTTAATACACTTTAGTTTTAATGTACAATACGTAGAAAACGTACATTTTTGGCCGGTGTCGAAATTAGTTTCGGTGTCAGCGAATTTTGTAGCAAAATCGCCACTGAAATGCATTCACAGTGTGAATATCGAGTACACGACATACAAGGCATAGTAAATAACAAGCGTAATTACAATCAGTCAAGACATGCAGAAGGGGCAAGCAGAGTTACACGTATATAGTCTATTTCGTATTCAGGAGTGACAACAGTACTTCAAGATATCCAGGCACGACATTAAGATGCATCGTGAATCTCCATTGTCTCTGACAAGGTGTGAATGTCTCGGTAAATATGGATTGACCTCCTCGGCAGTGAGCACACTATTTCAAGATATCCATGGGCACGACAATAAGATGCATCGTGAATCTCCATTGTCTCTGACAAGGCGTGAATGTCTCAGTAAATATGGACTGACCTCCTCGGCAGTGAGCACACGACTTCAAGATATCCAGGCACGACAATAAGATGCATCGTGAATCTCCATTGTCTCTGACAAGGTGTGAATGTCTCAGTAAATATGGACTGACCTCCTCGGCAGTGAGCACACGACTTCAAGATATCCAGGCACGACAATAAGATGCATCGTGAATCTCCATGTCTCTGACAAGGCGTGAATGTCTCGGTAAATATGGACTGACCTCCTCGGCAGTGAGCACAGTACTTCAAGATATCCATGGGCACGACAATAAGGTGCATCGTGAATCTCCATTGTCTCTGACAAGGCGTGAATGTCTCGGTAAATATGGACTGACCTCCTCGGCAGTGAGCACACTATACTTCAAGATATCCATGGGCACGACAATAAGGTGCATCGT